TAATTTTCCAACTTGAGCGTTCAGATCCCAGCCAGCACTACAGTGTCCGTGCTTCTTCTGTGGCGAAGGAGCTGAGTCAGTTGGCGGTAGAAGTCGTTCTTTACCGAATCATCGCTAGAGTTTGTGGGCGCGTAGGCAGCGATGATGAATAGACACCTTTTAGTCCCGCGCGACTTCGAAGCTTCAAACGAGCCAGCCAATCGGACTGCACACATCCGGCTATTGATTGGAATCCAATCAACCAGAGCAGCTTCAGCCCGGGGACTCAGGGCAATGCCAACACCAGCTTGGCCGGTGCTCGAAGCTGCATCGTCACCGGATAGGCGCAATGAGAAAATGCTGCTTGCGTCACCTGAAGGGGATCGCAGAGTGAGCACAGAGCTCGAGTCTTGCAGGCGGGTCTCTGATAAACAGCAGATATCGATCGAGAGGGTCTCCAATGTTCGGGCAAATGCTGCCTGTTGGCCCATCTGTAGCACTGTGCGTACATTGAGACATGTCAATCTAAAGGATGATCGAGGGCTCCAAATGGAAGTAAGAGGGGGATTAAGAAGATGGGAAGGCTTGAGCAGTAGCATCCAAGCCCCTATCCACCCTGCTCGATGCAGCAGATAGGGCACCGTTGATTATCCTCTGCGGTGGCCAGAACATCAAGGAATTGTTTGAAGAGAAATTCATTGTATTGCGTAGGCAGGATACTGTCAGGTTGCCCTGGCGTAGACAGGAGAACGATTAGGGCTTCTCTCTCTCTCTCTCTCTCTCTCTATATATATATATATATATATATATATATATATATATATATATATATATAAACAGCTGGGTGTTTCGGTTTATCTCTTTCCAGCAAATGGTTCGGCAGCAGTATCCCAGGACGTGGTAGGTTTAAGCCTGGCAAGCGTTCTCCCTATAAAAAGCCATATATGTCCGTTTAACAACACCGCGACGTGGCGGATGTGATTCGCCACTGAATAAACTCACTGTCTTTTGCTTCGCTCTGCTGGATCATTGTATTCCTGCAGTATGCTGAAACTGTGGAGATTATTGGGCCCCTGTTTGGCAACCGACCAAACGCAAAGCGTATGAATTCTGAAATCAGTCACCAGCTCCCAATTTGCGCGATCCTATGAATTCGCTCCGCTGCCTTGCTGGCAAGCTACTCAGCCTAAAGCTCGCGGTGGTGCCTCCTAAGTCAACTCCCTACTTCTGCTTAAGCAACCGGATAGTATCTTGCACTCTGACGAAACCATGGTCTTCTTTGTGTTGTGGTCGTTTTTTGCGGCAAATTTATCTCTCTTTGAACTCCTTGGTTTCTGATGGCTTCATGTCAAGAAATAAATAAGTATATAATGCCCCGTACTAAGGATGATGTTGCATTCATTATGCTTCTTCACCGTAGTTGGCCTTATCCAACTTACACTTATTCTAGGTCTTTTTAAGCTGGATAAAATTCATTCCACTTTAATTGCTTTGTTCTGCCTACATGACTAATCTTCTATTAACTTGCACACGTTGATTATGCTAATTTTGGTTATCTTCATTAACTTTATTGCGTTTGTAGCATTTTTGAGTAACTTGTGGACATTTTTTATTATCGCGGATTCGTTGATAACCAACTTATTTCATATGCTAATTTGACGAAGAGTTACGTCTGCATCGCCGTTTGTTTTGACAGCTTTTTTATTTGATAATGTTCAAGTGATTGGCTATTGCATGATATCTCCGGTGTGGCTGCGCTTGATGTGCGTGTTGACAAGGTGCCTACTTGTCTATTACCCACTACCTCATCCATACTGGCTCCAGAAGGCAGTTGGTCGTTATTGGAAGGGACGTGGTGCACTTTCCCTGTGGCCGTGTTAGGATCAAAGAGTGGTTCCATGCACTCAGTGTAGAGCGGACTACGGTCCAGCCACCGACTTGCGTGTGATTGATTCCCCAAATACAGCGTGTTTGTGTTTGCCTACGAAGGAGTGTGAGCCGGCTCCGTTGTTGAAACGTGGCTCCCATCCACGTGCCTACCGGTCTTATTCCTTCGGGTTTACACTGGATATGAGGTGTGTGGATGGAGCTGTGGGTGGTGCAGCGCAAGCCATCCATGGTCCCTCTGTAGGCGCAGGCGTCCTGTGAGTGGCCACAGTGACAGGCAAATCCGAAACCGGATGCCGCCAACCATGTATATAAGCACAATCAATTGTATTGCGACTCGCACAAGGCCATAACAAATGGATAAATGCATGTGAGAGAACGACTAGTTACCGTGAAAGAGTCTTACTGCATGTTCGAGCGAGTTTCTAGCCAGGCGTCGTCGCGTTCCTTGAGCTGCATCTCGAGAGTCGGCCATCTTTGCTTTTAGCGCATTCATACTTTGCACTGAAGTCATTCGTTGTCCATCTTGCTTCTGCTTCCAAGCGACGTCTGCTTGCACCAATAGGACACGGTGAGGCTAACGTGGAACTCTCACTCGAAGCACGTATCCAAGCCAATGTAGCCTGTGTAGTGAAATTGTGCAGGTGGCGAATCGATGTTGTGACCTAAGGCATAAAGAAATTGGCCACGAGACTCGTGGATTGGGGCCTCGAGATGGTCCACATTAGTAGTTAGAGTCTAAGGCGTGGCGCAGTTGTTTAGACAGTGGCGCTCCCGCACTCGGTTTTTTGCGTTTCTCTGCTAATATTCATCTCTCCCATATTAGCCTTACGCACTTTCCTTAACTCCGTTCACTTTTGTTTTCTTTGCTTTTTCATTTTTTCGCTGCTGTTGCTAGTTTTTATCCTGGCGGTGCGAGTTGTGGCAACGAAATCCGCTGCACTTGGGTGCACAGATCATATTTATTTAAATACACTGCACAGGTCGAGTGCATCCTAGGAGAACGAAAGGTCTCATCAACAAATACCAAGCAGCGTTGACAAACTTTATGGCCCAGATTCATCAATTTGGGAATTTTGATGTTTGCTATCTGCCCCTGGTTTGTGTAGTACTTTTTCTTGAGAATTACTTTCAATTTTGGGTTGCAATGGTGCTCCGTTTTTTACATTTTCATTATGTGTCCAAATCTCTACCACAGCTAGTAATTTGCACCGAAATCCCAATTCCAACAACAGCAGCTCTGCTTACTACTCTGAAACGCATCTCAAAGCTCAACGCTAGAGCTCTGATTCTTCTCTTTTTCCCTCCCTGGCATGTGTTTACAGTCCTGAATGACTGATCCTCATTCGTCACTTTTCTGCTGTTATGCAGTTATAACATGGTTTCCGACTTTCCTCTTCGGACGCATTGGAGATGCTCGCCATAAACAGATGTTCACCGCATATAAATGAATAATTTGTATGTTCCTCGACGATACGAAAAGCTGTTCCCTAAAAGGAACAGATCAAAAATGGTTACCTCCATCTCATGCCATTGTATTAATAATATTCGAAATAACTTTGGGCATAAATTTCAAATTGCGGGACACCAAGTAATCAAAATCGTTCTGCTGTTTTTTGGTCGTTAAATCGGGGTTCTTCACAATCATGTGAAATATGTTCGGACCAGGATAAAATGTAATGAAATGAACGGGGCTGTGGTCCAGAAATCTATATGTATCCTGTTCGTAATTTAATCACGCGCTATCGATGTCCTTCTCGAAGGCGTTATCCAGGGATTGTGATACCCCGAACATATTAATCGCGTTTTGGACGGTTAACTGCCTAACAATCGCATGCTTAAAATGACATCGTATACAACAATGTTCTGATATCTCTTGAAAGTTTGTTCCAAATCTTTGATTAGTGGATTAGAAAAATACGTTCCATGATTCTCGTAGTACATTTTGGAATCGTGACCTATATCTCCTTGTTGCGGATTAGATATCTGCTTTTTATAGACATGTGAACGCTATCTTTAGAACTATGAATTTAATGGTTTATGATTTTGTAAAAGAAACACAGGTTCAGCTTCATTCTCCGAAGCCCGAATGGGTCAAATCCAAGCTTACCATAACGTTCATCAATAGCCACCGTTTTTTCGTGAAGCGTCGCTGGACCCTCAAGAGCATTTTGGTCAGATTTTCGCAAATTCAATTGAACCAATGGGCAGTATTCCATACAAGCCAATACATATGTTTTGTAAAGCCAGATGCGAGATTCCGTGAGACAAACTGGCGGCAAATGTATCCAGTGGTCTTCATGGCCTTCTAAACTTAAAAGTCACAATGTTCAGATAATTAACGGTAACGATATCGCAAACCCAAGTTGCAAACTGCCATGCATTGCAAGATGTATGTGCCTTGCAGTAAGAGTCTCTGGCGGTACGTGGCATTTGTAAGACAAAATATTACACTTGTCCACGGCAACTGGTATGTGCCACATTTGGTACCAGGACTCAAATGCAGCCAGGTCATCCTGAATTAAACGTACGGTTGCCTGGGTATTCGCACCTTCTTGTGAGTAGACAACTTTAATGTCATCAGCAACAGAAACGTGGCACCATGTCTTAGTCTCTGAAATACATCGTCAGCATATATGCGAAAAAGAAGGGGACCAAGAACACTGCATTGGATTACTCCACTGGTGACTGCTTTCGGTTTAGATAAATGGTCGCCGATGCGCACCACCTGCTGTCTACTAACTAGGTATGAAGACAGCCAAGAAAACATCGGCTCTCCGATGCCTTTGGCTTTCAGTCTGCTGAGTAACCTTCGATGAGGCTCTTTACCAAAGGCTTTTTACACATCTAGAAACAAGATTACAGCGCTGTTTCCATTGTCTGTGGCGGCCGTTGTGTGGTTCTAGATGTCTGTCTGGCATGTTGCTCAGGATCAACATTGCATGAAGCCATGCTGCGAATTGCTGATGAGGTTGGCCTAACCTCACCCGCCTCAACGATTTGCATTGGCCATCACTCCGTTCGTCGGCGTGTCCCTTTACTTTTTCCCACTTTTCCCCCTTGATTATCATACAGACGCTGGCATATTCACGCCACCTTTCCCACCTGTCTGTTTACTCTCCCCCCTCTTACAGATGCGATGCATCTCTACGTTACGAAGTGTTACGATGATTTTGCTCCCTATCGAAACGATGGCTGTTTGACCAATGCCAACCTGCCTTCAATGCGGAATGCATGCGATCCATCCGTTCATTTGGGCCATGGCACTGGTCATCCGGAGTGTGTGGAGAATGAGGCACAAACTCACTCGGATGACTCCAGTCTAAACTTCACCGGACCATTGGTAAATAGTGCTTCGCTGTCTTGCAGCCGAGCAGCGGAGTCCACTTCTTTGGGATTGTCTCTTGCCTCCAGTTTGGCCAGTCGAATGAATGCGCCAGCACCAATCGATGAGATTACTGGATTCGAAAGTGGCTACCATATGGACAAAGAGTCGAATATCATTGTGTTGACTGGAGCTGCTTCCGTGCACATCATCGCTTTGCTTTCCACAGACGAAATGTTTCTCTGGGCTGATACAATGTCTCAAATCATGACTGGTATGCCCGACTAGCTTTTTTTCTGTTCCAAGTCGCTACTGTTTTGTTCGTGCTCAAATCAGCCTCTTTGGCCGCTATCTGGCCTTCACCTCGTGATACCACGTTCATTCGGGTCACTTGTGTGATCATACACGCGAATCGCACTACACTCTCGTTACACATGCTCGCACTTCATGCTAGTCGCCAGTTCGAAATTTTAATAAGCCCGCCTACGTTGAAAGTTCGGTTTACCCTTGTGCGCAGTGTTCGAACAGCGATTCACAGTCTTCATTTGACTAAGCTCGGTAAACTCGGTCCCTGTTCAATCGAATACCATCGTATTATTTACTTTTATTTACGCAAATGATATACTGAGAGAAATGCCCCCTACTCTCGTTCACCCTTCTTATTATTTATTTATTTGCTCATTATGACATTATTGGCGTACCATTAGAATTACTATAATATTGAAAGGAGGGGTTTGGTTCAGTATCGAAGGAAATTTGTCACGGCTAGACAGTCATTCAGCCACTCATCTTCATCATCGACAGCAGTACGTTAACCATTTGGACTAATGTTTCGTTGCCGTACGATCACAGTGACCTACGGAACAGAGAATAATAAGAGGGAGAGAAGAGGAAGTTACTGGAAAACCTTAATTCCCTAAGCAAACATTCAGGGTCAGGGCGCCTACACCTTGTCAACACCATACCGTCACAAACAGCTGGCAATCGTGCAAGCACATGACCGCATCGGCAAGACATTTTCCTTGCGACTATCATTACTTTGCATCATAATGTGCCATTACCCCGCAGGTAACATAGCACCAAGCACACTTTAAATGGGCAGTCCGACTAGGAGACGACCGCAGACTGACCGCTGGTTGGGACTGCGAGTCATGTCCTCTAACGCCTGTAGTCAAGCACAAAGCGGGTCACGTGGACTTCAGCATGGAAGGCCAGGTTAACTACTAATTGCAAACATTCCAGTTTATGTTGCATACCTAAGTCATAATTCATAAACATTGGCAAGTCGTTGACATCAGCGGACGACGCACCCACAGTTTTGTCTTAATCCAAATTATTCCCTCGGTCGAGTGTAAGTGGTGACTTTGCAAGTTTACATGATGAAGAGTCAAAGTGACAATGGGTCACTTTTTCTTAAGCCACGGCAACACCTCGTACTTTTTCCATCTACCAACATCTCTGAGTTCGTTTACAATCGTGTGAAAGCGTATTAGCCGTAGGAGCACCTCATACCGATTGGTTACGCTTGCAACTCGTGTTGTGCGAAACCATGCGTAATGTCTTTGCTATATCCATCGAAACCACCACGCACTCTTGTTCCCGAGTGAACTACTCGGAATTTGCTATCCAACGCGTATCAGGCCTCTAGACGTCTATCCCCTTTCAGATAGCCAGGTTGAAAAAAAGTGAAGGTTTCGGTGGTTTGTATTATACACTGTAGACAACGGATTCAATAGCTATCGGTCTAGACTCTCTTGAATGTGCCGAATTTACTGTTTTGGGTCCAAAAGAGATGCGCGCGAGCAAGTTACGGTCGGGAAAATGCGATCAAATGCATTAGGATAGTAACCTATGCAGAACCACAGGACTGTCGATCGACCAAGTATCTACTTTCAGCTCATTACGTCCCGGCATCGTTTTGTGCTAAGGAACCGTTTCCTCCTTATATTATTTGATGAATTTTAACATGTTGAACTTATGGTTGGATGACACTGGTCTGCTGGCAGCAGTGCTTGTGGTATTGAAAGCACTGCTAATTATGTCTGATTGTCCGGTACATTGCTACTGTCAAACTTATTGGGTTCCCTCCAGATGCTATCTAGGATGCACCTCACAAAAGCATATTTCTGCTATAGATAAAGCCTTCTATTAGCTCATAGGTTCGTTCACGAATCTCGTTCCTGTGGGCGTATACGGCCCTGGCAGCACTCGCTTTTTTAGGTTCCCACTTGAAGGAAAAGTAGACCAGTCTATCCTCATTCGGCCTTTATCAAGCGAAACTAATAAACTTAACTTGGAACCCAATGTCCAGCTATCTTATGCATATAATACAAGTAAGCCAACCGGTCGCTAACTTCGAGCACTTGATCGGTGGTTGTGTGACCCAGTCTTGTGATGGTACTTTACATTTTGATGGCACGGCGCGCATGTCAAGTCTTGCATGGCCGTTCGTCAGTCTCTTCAGCAGTGCTTGTAATGTAGCAGCATTCATTCGGAAGTGGGCTGTAACATCTGCCCACTCTAGGCTCCGCAGCCGGTTGTGTTCAGCAGAGCTTCTATTCCAAAAGAATCGGAATGGCTCGTGAGTTGTTCATTCATATTCATTCCGATCACAATGGAATGAAGCAATTGGGTCAACTAAACATGGTGAATTCATGATTTAGTTTCCTTTAAACTCTTTTAAAATGGACCCTGCAACGAAACCTGCGCAACCGACTGATTGCCTCCAGCTCACTACTGATTACTATGCTAGGCTGTGTTATAGGAATGGTGACGCTCGCCAACTCGTAAAGAGTGGGTGTAGTCAATACCCTCTCACCGGAGCTGAAGCCGACCGTACTTCGTTGGATTTTTGTCCCACGAAAATGAGTGAATCACCGAGTCATGGTACATGTGTTGTGGATTAACAGTTGAGATCAAACCGGTAATGCGATGACTTTCACAGAATGTCCTTTGGGTCCTTTGAAAGGTGGGGGAGTTTGGCGATGACCTCGCATCAGATGGTACTTCTCTCTTGCGTCAGACAGTACCGAATAAAGTGCTTAATCTGGTCACTAGAGTATCGCCACCGTCCTTCACCAGCCTGGGCACAGTAGAAAGCAGTAGCACACTGTTGATCAGCTGGACAGGTATATGAAAACACGACTCGGCGATATTAGTCAAGGCAACTTATGTAACAGCGCTTCAGTGCAAGGACCATTGTTGATCAGATAGTCACCGAATTTCAGCGCAACCTCCCCCCAAAGGCTACTACGATCAATTGAAACTGTCAGTACAGGTCGATAATTGTTGAAACACCCGCCACGACGTTTGGGGATTTAAATACTTAGTCGATTCTTGTGTATTAATTAGCCGCCCCTACCGTGTGCGAAGTGGCTTAGGTTTTCAATTTCACGGCCCATCTCGTACTATTCCAGCCCGTGTCCTTTTGCCGGTGGTCGCTTGAAAACGAAGCGTATCCTTGACACTCTGGTTTTTAATGTTTTCCTTCTCAAATTCGTTTACTTTACTCCATGAGCAAGAACAGTGCCACACAAACGTCTATATTTACTTCAACTGATTGCAACCATCTGCGACAGTAGTTCACTTTGATTGGCGCGCTGGACTTAACTCCATCTAGTATAGCGTTTCCATGTTCCTCATACTGAGGTTGATGTTGTTTCTTCACCGCGGTTGAGCCGAAGTAACTTGTACTTGCACTTCTTCCGCATTACACTAGAGCTGACTGAACCCAACTTTTTTGCTCAATTCTGTTAATTCGCATATTCCGTGTTGCGCGTTTTTATTCTTTGCTCGGTGTTATTCGGTTGATATCCCCTGACTTACACTTGCTCAAATCATCCAACTCTTTTGCTAGGTCATAGTACACAAATTTTGTCACTTGCTCTGTTCCGTTATATTGCCGCACATCTGCAGTCCACTTTGCGTGCTCATTTTCTTCCATATTCCGATTTTGCTGTTGGATATCCCAGGTGTGGCTGCGCTGGATATGAGTGTTGACAAGGTGCCTACCTGTCGAAAAACCGCTACGTTGATAATACTGGCCCCAGGAGACAGTTTGTCGTTACTGGAGAGACTGAGTGTACGGTCCTTGTGTCCGCAGTAGTCTTAGAGTCGTTCCATCCAGTGTGGAGATGATTACGGCCCCGCCACCGTCTTCTGTACGTATGGTACGCATGGTTCCCTGCAGAGATAGACAGTAATGCTGCTGCTGTGCATACTGAAGGAGTGCTGGCCGGCTCCGTTGATGAAACGTGGCTCCCATCCACATGTCTTATTCCTTCGGGTGTACACTGGATAGGGGATGTATGGACGGAACTGTGAGTAGTGCAGTGCAAGCCACTCCTGGTCCCTCTATAGGCGCAGGCGTCCTGTGGCTTGCCACAGTAACAGGCAGATCCAGAATCGGATGCCACCAACCATTTTCCCGCAGCAGAGTTCTCATACGATATGGCACTACATCTGTGTCGGCGCCGCTAAGTAGGCTAAGCCGAATTGCTATACAACTCGATATATGCTTCATCACCGCTAACCCCGGAACCCAATGCATTTTGTGGGCACCGATTTACTCATCCAATCAATTGCATCATTCCTACTGATCGCCTGTCTGAAGTGCATGCCCCATTCATTGGTTAGGGTTGTGTAAATTATTGTAGCACAACTAAGCTATTGGTGCACAATGCTTGCTGTGTATGCTTATGATTATTGCAGGATGAATGCGCAAAGCAGTATCTGCTCCTATTTGATAGGGGCGCCACTAATATCCTCTATTTGATATGGCGTCTACGCTTAAGGAACCCACTGATGGAGCAACTTAGCTAGAGGCATAGGTTAACGCCTATCATCTTCCCAGATAGGCTCTCGGAATTGACCACGTCACTGGTCGGGAACTCGTTTGAATTTCGCACAACCATTAACACTGTTTCATTGTTCCCCTTATGACTTGATTCATCCAACCGGTTCCTACAGTTCATTTTCCATCAGTATTTTTAAAATGTTAGCTGGCTACAGTGTTGTCCTATTCGCCACACTTCCATATGCTGTTTCTCACTTTCACATATTCCATCACGCGTTTTGTTCTCTGATTTTGCGGACAGAGTACGCCTTTTCTGTTTTCCAGTATTATTTTTTTATTAGTTTGCCGCATTTCCTATTAGTGCCTGCATATGCCCCGTTATTTACTTTTCCCAAGATTTTCCCGCTGAATGCGTCATCGGTATGCCCGTATCCTGTAAGCTATTGGCTCACGTCCTAGCTCGATTGCCACACAACCAA